AGACAGCCATATTCATGTTACATGTGCCTTTTCCAACTAGTACCACTGACATGAAGCAAGAACTTAGCACTACCTTCCCCAGACACATATTAATTTATGATTTAAAAATTAATACATCTGATCATCCCAAATCATTATTGCTTATATTTTCCAGTCACTCTATTGATAATTCAATTTAAGGCATATTCTTTCTCTAGTCCTCCTTGTGGAAAGTGTTTTGCCATGGAAAATTTCCCAAGATACTCTCCAGTAAACAAAAACCACCCCTGTTTACTCTGTCTGTTCTGGTTTTGTTGTAATTATTCTTCCCACCCACCTTACATTTCTGTGGATCTTCAGGATTCTCTTGCAGAATTTCTGCTCATAAGTACTAAAGGTACTAATAAAGATTCCTTTTTGGTGTTTGTTGCTCTAACTCATTTTAGCCTCCTTAGTATGTTTCTGCATTTCACGAAAATTTATGGTTCTTTCTGTTTCATTTTATAGGCACAAATTCCTTTGTGCCTATCTTTTTTTTGAAGGTGCCATCTGTTTGTTTTGCTTTTTTAATAATTGTCTCCTGTGGTTTAATTGTGTTGGCATCCTTCAGAGCTTGATCCTGCAGCACAATTGTGTAAACTGTGGTGCAGGATCAAGCTCTGAAGGATGCCAACAGCCTACAGCAAACTCCCAAAGAACTTAATGTAAACAGTGGATTATGGACTTGCAGTGCACCCTGCGATTTTATTCACAATGTACTGCAAGTCTTAAGGCTAAGACTAAATCCATTATTAAGCATTCTAGACAATAACCCCATTCCAAAGCACAACAAGAAGCATAGAGCAATCCAAGAAATCAAAAACAAATAATATAGGAAAAGCATCTCTGCACAATCTTTTGGGAACTGTCTATTCCTTTCCCTAATTCACTGTTAGTATACTGAATTAAAACTATAGGTTTATAAACACTACTTGGAATCATGCCAGTGTTACCAATAGAAGTAAAATTTTAAGTAAGTGGGTGCCACATATAGGCACCAGCCCCCTTATGTACTAAGAGCTGCATAGTGGGAGCTTGACTTAATTTGTCAAAAAAAGCCTGAAGGCTGTATCTGATTAATTACGAGGTTATACAGGAGAAAGTATTTGCATGAAACATAAATTATTTTCCAAGGTAACTAATACATACTCCAAACAACAATTAAAACAAAATCACATTATTCAGGGCACTATTGGAGAGCATGTGGGTGTTAGATACAGAGGCCTTGTGAGGAAATTGCTACAGTACTAAACATAGAGAGCCTGGTGGAAGGCTATCTTGAAAACCTACTATATGATTTACTACACTCTGCTTTAAAACAGCTTAATTCTCTGGTTTCACACAGAATTCTTTGTACAGTCCAAGAAAGAAAATAGCATTGCTACAAATCACAGGAATTGCATTTTAGGCCTCTCAAAGTTTCTTTGCTGAGTCATGTCATCTGACTAGTCACACAAGAATGCATGTCAGCTTGTAGCTTGTCATGGAGATGATTAGAGATTTTTTTGAAGGAGCTGAAGCTAATGTGCTTAAGCTATTGAACAAAAATGTCATATATGCTCTTTATGTGCACTTTGTTCTCCATATTAAATCATATGCATCATAGATCTTTAAGGACAAAATTACTGATGCACAGCACATGTGCTCCTTTAACAACCGCAGTTTACCCTAGCAAAGTATTATCGAATATAGTTCTTAAGACTACAGAAAGGAAATTGGCATGCTCTATTTTCTCTGCTATTTAGTTATCATTTCTCAGGCATTTTTTCCCCATAATGATTTAATCTTGTTGAAAATTTTGGGTCCACATTCTCATGATGCCCTCCAGTAATTGGAGTAGTTTCCTAAAGTTAGGTAGACTTTTTTACTCTTGTAGGCATCATTGCCAAGCATTTTTTGCTTGGCAATACTTCACAAAATTAATTACTGCCTCCAATTTTTATCAATGCCTACTACTTCCTTTGGTAGTTTGGGTTTTGGTTTAAGATGTATGTGTCTTTGTGTGGCTTATTCCACATTTCCAAAGCATATTTCTGCTGGACGCTGCTTGGTCTCGGTTCGATATCTAGTGATTAAACTTTCAGCACTGTCATTTTGCATCTTTTAATTAGTTTGGCCTCTTCCTCTAGTCTTCTTTGACTAGAACTTCAGTATGTTCTTTATCTGATTGATCACTCTTTACAGCAGATTACCCTCCCTGGGGAGAATAGTGAGGCCTTGCCAACAACACAGATATTGAAAAGCAACCACAAATTAGCAGCTGTGACATCGGACCTGGTTTTTGTTATACATCCAGCCGAGAAAGCTTTCCTGGTGCTCTCGGGGTAAACAAGGATTGGGTGAACTCGAAATCTTTGAAGGCAGAGAAGCGCTTACTTTCTGGAACGTTTCCAGTGAAGGGGCCGCCCGGAGGAGGCGCCGCCGTCTCACAGCCCCCGCCCGCCTGTGCGAGCCCTGGGCGCTCCTCCCGCACCTGACCGAGGTCCAACAGGTCCCCGCAGCCGCGGCTCGGTTCGGGCCGGGCCGGGAGCGGCCGGACAGGCTCCTCACACCCGCCTTTCCCACACGGCGGAGGCGCCGCGGGGCCGCTCCGGCCCGCCTGAGGGGAGCCCGTGCCGGGCGCGCGGG